CTAGTCACTCTCCCAGATTCAACGGATCTGGAGGTGAAGCCAGAGTACAAGAAACCCGGAATTTGCGTCTTGATGATATTAAAAAGCAGGCAACAGATGAAATATTGCCTCCTTGAATCTGGCTTCAACCACTGTAGCTGTATATAATGGGGTGTGACATGCTCATCATACCGCATACGATGTACGAATCTTACGCAAGCATTCATGGCTCTGTATAGCTTAAGGTCCTGTTCCGCAGTGATGTTCGTGAAGGCCGCACAACAATAGTCGAAGTGCGGAAAAATCAGGGTGGTGATCAGCTTCGCTCTTAGTGTGTCAGGCATTAAATGTTTGCACAACTTCAGTTGGTATAAAGTAGATCTCACCTTCCTCAGAGTGTTGGATATATGATGTTCCCAAGACAGATTGTTTGCAATCACAACACCGAGATACTTGATCTGCGTGGCATACTGCACCACGTCTCCCTCAATCCTTATCGGGGGTAGCTGCGAGACTTCCATCGCATTTATGTAACGCGCAGTGCCTATAATGATAGCCTGAGCAGCATTAAGGATAAGCCCATTGGAGGCAGACCAGTTCACGACTGAGGCTATGTCCGCGTTGATCTTGGCAATTGCCTCAAGTTTGCGGGGCTCGCAGTGGAAATATATTTGCAAGTCGTCAGCGTAGAAGTTGTACTTGCAGTGCCTTAGGATGCTTATGAAACCGGAAAGATATAAAATAAAATGTAGCGGGCCTAGCACAGAGCCCTGTGGTACCCCCACCTTTACAGCCGCCTCTGCGGAGATGGTGCACTCCATTTCGTACCACCTGTGATCTACTTTCCAAGTATGACAAAATCCATTCCAGGGTAGAGCGAGAGAACCGTAAATCTCGTAGTTTCCTAAACAAGACCGAATGTTAGACTCTATCAAATGCCTTGGAGAAATCGAAAAAGACGGAGATGATCACCAATTTCTGATCGGCAGCGCCTCTTATATCGTCGATAGTGCGCAGAAGGCATACTTGTGTAGAATACCCTTTCTTATAGGCAGCTTGATAGGGATCGAGGAGATCGTTGGCCACGAGATAGGAGCATATTTGTTCCGCCACACACGCTCTAGCACTTTGGACAAGGCTGGCAGCACGGAGATAGGCCTGTAATTCTGCACCGAAGTTGGATTTTTAGTTTTTGGAATCGGACACACAAGCGTAGACTTCCATTGACTAGGGAAAGCACCGTGCGTCAACGAGAAGTTAAAGATGTGTTCCAAGACAGGCATTATGCACGGCAAAACCAACTTGATCAGTCTTGGTGTGATTCCATCCGATCCAGTAGCATTCGACTTCAGTCTGGATATCGCAGAAAGGATAACAGATAGCGTGATGTGCTTCCAGTAAAAATTATTGTCATCGAACTCAATCTCGCTGAGATCGATACTAGACATCCCATCCGTGTCACCCTCGTCGGTTGACTGTACGAAAAAGTTGTTAAGTTCGTCAACAGAATGACGCAACGGGCCATCCGTATCTTTGGATTTTACAAGACCCAGGTGACGCAGTCTGCTCCATATCACATTAGGGTTGTCAGAGCGCTCGAAGACAGACAGGAAGTAGGCCCGCTTGGCGAATCTGATGTCACTCTGCACTTTATTGCGAAAGGTCTTATAACGATGATAACTCGTATCATCGCGTCTTCTGCGCCACACCCTCCTTGCCAGATCTCTCTCGCGCATAGCCGCCCTCAAAACATCAGTGATCCAAGAAGCTGGCAGATTCTTGAAACAGACACTCTGTAGCAGTGCATGTCTGTCGTAGCACTCAAGAAGTCGTAAGTTTAACACCTCAACTTTGCTGTCAATATTATCAGCGTTCCATAGATCCTCCCAATCAGTGTCCTGAATTTCAGCAAAGAAATGATCCTCATTGAAATTCTTGAAGTCCCTGCAGATGGTAATCCGATTGACGCGTCGTCGAATCTTGATGTTATACTTTATGTATTGTGACGCCGCAATCCGCTGCAGCGGAGCAGCGTCCCGCCGCCGTCACAAGGCGCGGGTTCGCGCCCCCTTTTTGCTCGGACCGACAGCCGCATCGTGAGAGCGAGACCGAAATCTCCGGGAGGCCCGAATTTAAACGCGTGCTTTGTATTAATTTTCGTTGAACCTCTTCTATGTATCGCGACACCTCATTGGACCCACGGAGCGTCAGCGGAGAGGACTCAAGGCCAACGACAGCGGACGGGAGTTGGAGTACGGGCGACCTGGCGCCGGAGCAAAGGGGACACGCACCGGGCACGCGGCGAGCAGGTGGCAGAGCGCGTGAACACGCGCAAGGATACCCGAGCCGCCAGGGGCGCGACCGGGAAGGCGGGCGCTGTGGCTGAGCCCCGCGAAGGGCGATACGGCCGGCGATTTCCCCACGGCCCGGGGACATCGCCGAGAGCTGCCGGGGTGAGATAGCCAACTCGTCCCGGAATTCAAGGGCGAAGGACGCGCCCATCTGATTCCACGCCGCCACATCCCGGATATAGGGCGACCTCGCGCGGGCGCGAGGCGCCCGCATGCAGAATCACCTGACTGCGCCCGTGCCACGGCAGGACCCCCGCGGCGCCGTGATTGGTCGCGGCCGACTGCGCCGCTGTGTTGCGCACCCCCGGGCAGGGGATGCAGGCATCGATCGCGAATTGAACGCGATCTACGCCGCTTTTGCGTGCGGACTGAGAGAGCGTGCGGTCGATCCGGCGTAAGCGATCGAGAGCGAGCGAAAGAGAGAACGAGCGAAAGAGTACGTTGGCGAGACCGAGAGGAACGAACAGCTGTCGGACCTGCTACCCAGGAGGCTGTGACTGAGACCGTGCCGGTGAGGTGACCCTCTTTATCGCGTGTAAAGCCACGGGCTGATCGAGGATCTTGCTCGCACTCTGCGGACGTGAACGCCATTTTAGTGTTAGAGTCTCGTCGCGTGCGCCCCTCCGGCGACGCGTATTTCGTAGTTGCTCTCTGGTTTGGCGTACCGGCGTCCGTCCTCAAGTGCGAGGATTCTCATCGACTCTGCCGTGAGCGATCGGGAGTGTCGTGAGTCGCGTATTGAGCCACCCGGAGATCGTCGTCGCGAGTTCGCCGCAAGGCCCTCGCGCCGGAGCGCGCGAGCGTTAGAGTAAGTGTGTGAGTACGCGGAACCACGAGTGCCGTGCGTCGCGCTGTATTGTGACAGTGCGCGCGATTTCATTGCGTATCGGCGTATGTTCGTTTTCTATTTGTTCGTTTTCGTACGAGTGTCCGACGCGTAAACTTACGATCGACTGTCGCGGAAATACTTGTGGTCGTTAGACCTCAGTACACGCGTCGTACCGAGCCCCGCCCGTTATTGTACAGTCGCGCCGACTAGTTTTGAATGCGTTTCTTTTTGTTTCCGGCCGAATTTCATGCCTATTTCTTGTCTTTTTCTTTCGTACGCGGGAATTCATCGTGCCGTCGGATTATCCGCGCTTAATAGCGTTGAATCAGTCGCGTCACGTCCGTATCTTTCTTACCGAACTGTATTATCCTTTTTTTTTCTTCTACACCGTTTCTTACCGCCCTTTTAGGCGGGTAATAAACAACCTCGTTATTATTTTTATTAATCTGGAGTACGAATTCTTTCGCCCGCCCCGCGCCATCCCATCGCCCTTTTGCCTCGCCCTGCCCCTCTGCCGTTAAGTAGAGCCGGCTGGCCCTCGTGCGATCGACTTCGGGAGCGGCGTTTGATGGTCGAGTGTCGTCGCGTGTAAGGATTTCGTTCGCGCTATCGCGTAATCGTTACGTTTCGCGAGTGACGTGACCTAGAGCACGTCTGGCGCCCAGTTTTCGCGTCGCCGCTCCTCGTCGGTCGCCGGAGGGACACATCCCGGAGGGCTGCCACCCTCCCTCCCCGGAATCGTACGCGATTTCCACACCGTTGTTTGATCCGTGCTCGTGCGAATTATTTATTTTGCGGGAGCACGTGACAGTATATCAGATCGTGGGCTGATAGAAACGCTACGTCGTGTTGACCAAAAGATATTAATTTGGCAGCATCATCGATTACACAGAGGTCGAGAAAAGAGCTTGAAGTTTTTAAATGATGCGTTGTCTGATATGGTACTAAGAAAAGATTAGAGGAAGAAACAAAGCTATTGAATTGCGTGCTGTCGTAAGAGATAGAGCTCATATCAGAGTTAAAGTCGCCTAAGATTACAGAGTGCCTATAATTAATTTGCAAGTTCAGGAAAAGTTGTTGGAATTCCTGTAAAAAGCCCAGTTTTGGTGGGCGATAAACGACTGCCAACAATAAGCTTGAAGCATTGTCACAAGTGATTTCGGCTATTAGGTACTCAGGTTTATCATCGTACATCTCCGCTGAATGAGCCAGGATGGCGCCAATATCATCCTGCAGATAAAATGCGACACCACATCCATGCTTTCCACCTCTGTCTTTCCTGAATAGTTTAAAGTCCGAGAGATGGACCATGGCATCAGGTATTTCAGATCTCAACCAAGTTTCGGACATACAAATAATGTGGTGTACTTAGAACTGACAAAGAATTGACGAAATTCATCGAAGTGTGCCACAAGTGACTGACAGTTCACATGGCAAATCAGTAACTCATCATACATCGTGCACTCAACTATAATTAATGAAAGCAACTTTAGCCTTAATCTTCCTACCGAGAATTGGACATTTGCTTGCATTGGTCGCAGAGTGCTCGAGAGCCTCGGCTTCCGCTCCACGAGCATGCAGGCAGTTACTGCACTTTGGTCTGCCAGACTTTTGAGTACAGTCCCTCAGTTCATGTTGACCCGCGCAGAATCCGCAAGAGGGCAATGACTTGCATTCCCTTGCCGTGTGACCGAAAGTCGAACACTTGAAACATTGTATTACCCTGATGTAATTCGAAAAATTGCAGGCACTATAGCGTAAATAGACTCTACCAGCCTTCAATAATATTAAATTTACGCACCACAGGAGATATCTCAAGAACACAGCTGGTAATCGCATTGTCTTTTTTCGGCGGAAACACGTAGACGACTTTTACATCCGCAGTGACACTTAAGTTTTGCGCTATAAATTTCCCTTATCCCTTATCTCAGCCACTCTCATGTCCGCCGGAACACGATGCACAATGATTCTTGGGTTAGTCTTGATATTTTCTTGTATTTTAAGATTTTTAAGACCAGCTTTGGCAAGATTCGGATTTGTCTTAATTTTATCGAGGTCCGGCATGCTGGCCTCAATTCTGACTTCTTTTTTGGGAGCCAACGTTACTCTATTTACCTTCAATGCACATTGAGCCGGGTTAAGAACGTCGAAAAGAGCCTTCTTAGTTTCCGTTGAAGATGCAAATTTTTCAGCGTGGCTCTCATCAGGTACGACGCAGAAGCTGGTCAAATTAGGCACTACAACGGTGGGCCCATGCGGGAGATTTATCCTTGATTTGACGGCCTTGACCACCGCCGCATATGACTCTTGTACACGCATTCTCTCGTCCGCGCAGTTATCCTGAGAACCTGAGGCATTCTTTAAGCCCTTAACGAGATCCTCGACATTTTTGATGCTGTCCGTAATCGTATTTAAGCCCGCCGTTCGCTCCTCCAAGAAATTTATCAGAACAACCGAAACCTCCATGGAGGGTTCTCTGCACATCCTGAAGGCCCCCTCAATAACCGCTCTCCTTTCAGCTGTTTCCTTTCCAGAAAGGAGCGTCCTAACAAGAGAATCGCTATGTCTATCCACCGAAGCCTTAAGCGCATTTACTCTGGAAACAGTCATGGTCTCAATTCTTTTATCCAGCATATTAATTAAATTGGAGCCACTCGGAATCCGTATAGGTGGCGCACGCACTATGCCGCTACATCCATCGCCGCCAAGCTCCACAACCTCAGTCGGCAATGCAGGGGTCCTGTTCTCCATCATGGTAAATCCCACCGGGCCATGAGCAGCTGCGTGCGCGAAAGCCACCGTCCCAGGGGCGCATGCGCAGCCGCGAGAAGGTCCAATGTAGCCGGAATCCCAAATGTGCCCACTCACCAAGGCCTCAGCAAAAAACATACGATAGCCGAGGAAAAACTCAGGGGATCTCCCACTAACATAAGTGGAGGAGATGATAAGCTAAGTAGCCCTCAAAGAAGCTGCAAACACAGGCCCCGCAGGGCATACAGCGACAGAAAAATTATCCAAAAGCGGAGCGACAGATACACACGTCAACTCACCTCGCCATGACAGAGAGAGAGAGAGATGGATGAGGGAGGTGGAAGAGATGAGATAGATAAACTTCCGAAAACGAATCACTTCCGATTTCAATGAAACTTTGTTAAAAGCTTTATTTTGGGCTAAAATAAAAGTCCTTAAAGGGATTGTTACCGACTCTTATAAAAATGTCATTTTTTAAGATAAAATTATAAAAATGTAGTAAATAAGCCAAAAATATTTTGATTATGGAATCACTTTCAATGACTTTAATTTTGATACATGTTATTGTTACGTTCACGCTCACTGCACTCGCGTCCGAGGCAAAGATGGATACACTCGCGAGCTCGCGCGGAAAAGAACAATACACTCATTTTATAAAGTAATTATAACGATTTATTGAATTCAGAAATACACTAAGCGTACGTCAATCTCACTCTCAGACTCCCACCAAGCAATAACGTTGCTAAGAGAGTAACTCTCTCTTGTTCACTTCCGCAAACGATTTCAGTCGGCACAACTTAAACTCAGTCGACACCACAAAGCACGGGTGCAACACTACTCCCCTTCCAGATTGTCATTTCAACAATTCTATATCGGGTTATGGAAAGTTCTTCCAGTCGAACGTTCTCCTCCTCGAACTTTTCCAAGGTGGCATTTTCTTGAGCCTGGTCCCGAAATGCATCCTCCAGGGTATAATCAATCCCCAAGATGCCGGCGACTATCTCACGTACATCCTCCAGAAAACGGAGAGTCTGCCGTCGACTTGGACGCTGCTTTTCATGCTTTTTTTTTAGATTCGTCTCCTTTTCTATCCGTGTAATTCCATGAAAGATTAGTAGGGTCATTTTCTGAAATATCGATTTGGAAAGAAGAGATTTCAAGCTTAAAATGCTTTTTTGAACATCTCGATACGATCATTTTTTACGAAGTTACACTCTCTTGAATTTTGCCTATTTTTGGAGAGTAGAGTAAGTGATGCTTTAATTTTGTTGAGAAGTGTAGTTTGATGTTGTCGCTCCACCTGTCCGTCAGATTGGGGATGTAAAGACTTTGTTCTTGTTTTTTTAATTTTCAAAAAAAAATTTCTTTAAATAACCAATGTTTTTATCTTGATCTGTGTGCACCTTATGCGGAATACCGTATCTAGAAATAAACTGACTGACAAATGCATCCACAATAGTTTTTGTCCTTGTATTCTTAAAAGAGATATCCTCTGACCATTTTGCGAAATAATCCACTGCTACTAATAGATATTTACTTCCCGAAAGCGTTAAAGAAAATGGACCAAGGATATCCATTTATATTCTTTCAAAAGGAATTCCGACTGGTGCGTATCATCATTATTGCTATGGTCCGTAATATTTCGCTACCTGTGACCAATCACCGACCGACTGACTAGCTGTCGCAGTGTACACCGACACCGCGATACAAGTGTCGGCTAAAGGCACGCACGCACGCACGCACGCACGCACGCACGCACGCACGCACGCACGCACGCACGCACGCACGCACGCACGCACGCACGCACGCACGCACGCACGCACGCACGCACGCACGCACGCACGCACGCACGCACGCACGCACGCACTGAGTCGACAAGGCACGCACGCACACACACACACACACTTACACATACTCAATCTATGTATTGCTTTTATTATAGTCTGCTTCTTATGTTTTTTGATTTGTAGTATTTTGTATGAGCGCTTGAGGGGACTTGTCCCAGAGCGCT